GATCTGAGCCTTTTCTTTCCTTTTTTGATAAGGTTAACTAAGGGTTCATCAATTTTATTTATTCTTTCAAAAAACCAACTCTTTGATTAATTTATTTTTTGTATTGTTTTCTTAGTTTCCACTGCATTGATTTCTGCTCTTTTTATAATTTCCTTTCTTGTTCAAGTTTTGGGTTTTTCTTGCTCTTGTTTTTCTAGGAGTCTAAGATTCATCATTAGGTTGTTTATTTGAGCTCACTCTTTTTTCCTAGTGTGGACATTCAGTGCTATGAATTTTCCACATAGAACTGCTTTCATTGTGTCCCATAGATTCCTGTATGTTGTATTCACATTTTCATTTATTTGTAAAAACTGATTTCTTCTTTAATTTCCTCTGTGATCCATTGATTGTTCAGGAGAGTGTTGTTCAATTTCCATGTGTTTGTGAAGTTCCGATCTTTCTTGTGCTATTAATCTCCAGCATTTATTCAAACCTGTTCTGTGAGGTAGTATGTGATCTATCTTGGAGAATGACCCACCCATGTGCAGCCGAAAAGAATGTATATTCTGATTTTGTTTTCAAAAGCTTGGTTCAGTTCTAGTATTTTGTTGTTGATTTTTTTTTTGCCTAGATGATCTGTCTATTTGTGAAAGTGGGGTATTTAGATCACCCACTACAATTATATTAGTGCTTATTTGGTTTTTCATTTTTCTTAATATTTCTTTTATATAGTTGGGGCGTTAATATTTGGTGCATATATGTTTATGATTGTCATCTCTTCCTCTTGAATTGTTCCCTTTACAAGGATGTAGTAGCCTTCTTTGTCTTTTTTAATCAGTTTTGGTTTGAAATTTACTTTGTCTGTGAATAAGATTGCTTGCTATGCCTGCTTTTTTCTGGGCTCCTGTCACATGGAGAATTGTTTTCCATCCTTTCACTTTCAGTCTATGGGCTTCTTTTTGCACTAGGTGTGTTTCTTGTATACAACATATTGTTGGATTTTGCTTCTTAATCCATTCTGCCAGTCTATTTCTCTTGATTGGTGAGTTAAGGCCATTGACATTGATAGTTATAAATGATATGTGCTGTCTTATTATTGTCATGTTATTGGCCTTTTGTTGACTCTTTTGACTTTTTCACCATCTGCTTTTTTTTGCCTTGCCTGTTTGATTTGCTCTGTTGGGCCTCATGGTTTGTTACCTTCATTGTCTTTTTCTAGGATATTGTTTAGAATTGTTTGTAGTGCTGGTTTGGTATTCATGTAGTTTCTCAGGTGTTCTTTGTCATGGAAGTATCTTATTTCCCCATTCATTTTGAGACAGTTTTGCAGGATACATCAGTCTAGGTTGGAGGTTGTTTTCTTTTAGTACTTGAAATACCTCACTCCAGGCTCTCCTTGACCTAAGGGTTTGTGTTGGAAGCCGGTGCCCTGAAGGGTCAGCTGACCTCACGGGTGACAGGAGGGTCAGGGGAAGTAGGAGCGCGCAGTGCTTTCCATCACCTGTCTTGGAATGGACAGGGGGATGGTGTTGAGGTGGCCGTCCCCTCCTCCCTCAGTCCTCTCCCCGTGTCCATACCCCAGGTTCCTCCCCTGGGACCTCAGGGCACTGTGCCCTGCGGCTGAGTGCTGTGCCCGCCCTGTTCCCAGGCCCAGCATCCAGCAGGGAACCTAGCAGGGTGCTCAGTGCTTGCGGAACCCAGAAGGAAGGAGGCTGGAGGGAGGGAGGACAGTGCTTCCCTGGGCCCATCCCTCTCCTATAAGGGACTTATCACAGCGCAGGGCTGCTTTCCAGTGTGAAGCCCTGGAAGGGGCCTCCTGCACCCTGACTCTGGAGAGGCCGCCCCAGCTCCAGCAGGGCTGTAAATGCCCCCAGAACAGCCAGACTGGCCCGGGTCGAGTCCCCAGCCCGGCTGCCCCCTGCTTTCCCATGCTGTGCCAGCATAGTAGGCTCCCAGCTCCTGTGCCCTCCCACAGTGACCTTGAGGACAGAGGAGCAGCAAGCAGCACCTGGGCTCCTCTACACTGTGGGTGTGAATACCGGGATCTGCAGGGACCCCAGACTGTGGCTCCTACCAGCTGGCAGGTGAGGCCAGCGCTGCCGCTGCAGGGACCCTCTGAGAAGTGGGGTCTCCGTCAGTGCACAGAGGAGGGAAGAACAGGGGCAGCAGAGCACAGATCCTGCCTGCAGCCCCAGCTGCTGGGCGGGGACAGGGACAGGGACAGGGACAGCTACCTCCTGAGGTGTTTCCTGCTGTTTTCACCTTCCAGCCCCTGCAGAACCCAGATCCTTTCTCCAACCTGGGCTCTGCCTGAGCTTGGCCTGCGGTGGGTCCTGCTCTGAACCTGGGTCTGCGCTTTGGCCCCGCCTCCGGATGAGATTATGCAGTGTTTCCCAGACCAGCCTGAGTTTCTTTTCTGAGAGATGGGGCTGAGAATTGAAAGAGAAACCATTTGTCTGCAAAGGAAGGGTGGGGGTGCGAATGGGGGGGCCTGTTTTGACGGCGGGAGGGGCTGAGAGAGGCCGACCGAGTGG